CCAACCCTACCTCTCTCTCTCTCTCTCTCTCTCCCTGAGCAAACCCACACTAAAATGAGCTAAATCTACTATTTATAGTGTCAAGGAGTGGTGACAGCTGCCATTCTGTATGCGTTAAGCATGTGGTGGATTTTCCCTGAATAATGCGCATAATTTGAAAGGCGACATGGTTTCCCTTTTACTTATGACAATGAAAAAGAAAAGAAAGAGATAAAACATAGGTGTACATACCGGTAATCCAAATGCCATTGCTTCGATTGTTACTCTACCAAATGTTTCCCCGTGCCCCTGTCAAGCAAACAACCCAAGCAAATAAAATGATTTTGCAGGAATTTATGAAAAGAGGAATAAGAATTACACAAAACTGAACCGGAAAATTATATATACATGTGCATATATTCCCACAAAATCAATAGCTACATTTCATCTTTCTACTAATTAAGAGAAAACTGAACCTGAAGTTAAAACAGAGTCAACATTTTTCAAGTGTGTGTAGTGCATTAAGTTGAATGCTGTTGCAATTATTACAGGTTTTCCTAAATCAATAAACATGACTTTATCCAGAAAAATGGTTCATTAAATTGAAATTCAGTGCCTTATCGTTTCTACGTTTCAAATATTTGGTTAATTTGCTGTATATGGCATCTTATCAATATGAAGTGGCTCTGTTGCTGTTGTAGTTGGTTTTCTTTTTTTTCTTTACATGGTATCTCAATACATTAGGCGAATTCCATCTTTCTTAATGTATGCATAATAACATCGTAATTACCTTGTACATACACAATGTTACATTGATAATTGGTCAAACTATACTTTTACTCTTCTCTGGAAAAATTCAACATAGTTTATTCAACTTTATGTCAACAACAGAAAAACATGCATTAATCATATCCATAGTACATTAATTGTGCTCTCTGAGAGATTATTTGGACAGATTTCCATTTCAAAGCTACGGGATTAACTCTTAAGGAGTTAGCTTTGGATTTCGAAGTAAACAAAACTAATACGGATATTTATAGGTCCCAGCTTCCCAGGAAGAATTGGAACAATTCTCTTTCCTTATTTTCTTTAAAGAAGTAATATAATCTCACTTGAAAGAGAAGCCTAGTCACACCGTCATATGCAATCGCATTGTCAACAATGATAATCAACTCCTAACTTCCATATTTCAAATCCAGTCCTTGTACATCATAACTGCCACAACCTACATCCATTTACTCTTAAAGAAGTTCTCACTACGGCCAATTTGCATGGGAAAATTCTTCAATAAAGAGGGACACATTCTATTTTGGTGTATTCAGTTCAGGATTGAGAAAAGTACACACGCACACAGGCTCTAGGGTAGTTGCTCAAAAATCCTCATTTTGGTTCTCTACAATCCTACAGATTTATAAGTATGGATCAAAGAATATATAGTTCGTGGGGTCTAAACAATACATCTAATCTAGTCAATAGTGGGAAACACTTGAGCATTTCCCTTGCACTTAAGCGTTTCCCTTACCCCTAGACTGTGGTATGTAAATTTTGCTCTTCAAGATTTACTCCAAGCTTGCAATCAAGTGCTTATTTCCTCTATTCTGCTTCCTGAAACACAACCTTTATCTGAAGGAAAATTGTTTCATGCGGGATGGATCACATTTCTACAATATGCGGTTCAAATGTATAAAGCATCCATCTTGAAGATGGATGCAAATAGGTGGTCCATCTAAAAACAAGTGTAACTAATGGTCCAAATGTTTTCTTAATATAATTATTATTTCTAGTTTTTAATTTTTATTTATTTATTCATATTCATGATCTCCATGTTAAAGATTATATATTCTCTAAAAATTAGAAGAATTCAATTATATTTAAAATACATATTTATTGCCAAGCCCGCATTTCAACAATATGCGGGCTGGCCGCATAGAAACCGTGTCCTTATCTGAATTAGGATACTGTTTTGACAAGTCAGTGGACTCAACTATTTAGACGCATCCCCCTCCAAAATCCATTTTAGAGATGGATTTTGGATCCAAATTTTTAGGGGTTGATAATGTCAACCATGTTGATCATGATGAATCTGTCAATCTGAAAAAATAAAAATAAAAATAGCATATTTGGATTTTTACTTTACATCATTCAGTTTAGTTTTTGATTGAGGTACCTTTTTCTTCGCAGCCCATAACTGTCTCTTGATGCATCAAACACTTTCCCTTAAATTAGTATAAGAACTCATAGACTATTTTTAAAAGGTTTTAGAAAGGTAGATAAATTCCATCCAAGTACTCAACACTGGGGTCAATTTAAATCATAGTGGGTAAAAGATAATAGTTGCTTCCATAAATAAACACCTACGGAACAAAGTGATTCATTGCTCAAGTTGATTACATATCTGCACACAACAAAGCTACTCTTGCCATTGAGAAGATGAAATGAGCATGCTCAAGACCTAAGTTTCAAGTTTGCTTTTCATTGAACAGAAATAGATGAATGCAAAACTGGACTAGACTTAAATTGCTGACACATTTATAGTATAAGAAAAGTATACAATGACACCATTTATTTTTGATATGAGAAGATGACAATTATCATTAACCGTTAGATTTGAAATTTGGCGGTTGAGGATGTGTCATTATTTGGGCATAAAGTCCAAAATAAAATTTCTGGGATGTTGTGACACACTTTCACCTATTGGATTTCATATCCAATGGCCAGAAGTGATTGTGACCTCCTTTGTACAAAAAATAAAAGGTATCGTTTGTATAAGGTTGCAACCTTAAACAATCAAATTAAGGCGAACCTCCAAATTTTATCATAAATATAATTTTGCTGTAAAAAAGTCTTAGGATGGCTTGAGAATCCATTTTCATCTCTAATTATATGAATCTTAAACTCCAAAATATGGTTCCAATCATGTAGATCCATAAACACTTGAAAATCTTGATAATGGATGGTCCAAATAATAGGTTGCAAAATACACTATTTTTAGGACTCAAAATCTTTTTTTTTTTTTATATTCATACATCTCGATGTTGAGATGATCAATTAGAGGGTTTTCCAATATCAAAAGAACCTTTTATGATGGATTTTTGAGGTGCACCTTAATTCTATATTTTAAGGTTGCATCCTTATATAAACTTTTTCCAAAAATAAATGGTCTCATATTATACAACCCCTCTATTCTAACCTTGCCAGATTTAATCCCATAGTCATCAAAAGAAAGACACAAAACTAATTATAGGACTTAACATCGAATGTAAAATGGAAAAAGTTAGATTTAACGGCACCTGGGCATTTATCACATAAACATCTGCTGCAGCATAGAGAGATGCCACATTGGTAGTTGCTGGAGTCCACAACATTAATTTTGATAGCTCAGGATGCTGAGACAGAAACCGCAGAATAACCTTCACAAATAACACTTTGTTACTCTTGGACCCCATTGAACCAATCAAAATTTTTAGACCCTGCTCCTGCCTGTCTTCATTCTCTGACAACAACTTCCTTCTTTTACGCCTTTTGGGTTTGCCACCCTTGTGCTTGTGACCACGAGGTGGAGAAAGAATAGAAAAATTGGAGCTCTTATTTTCCGAGTCACTCACAATATCGCTAGTTGATCCAAAAGATTTGAAGGATCCATTTGTTGATTTGTTGTTTAAAAGACTGGGTTCAAGGAGAATCCTCGATTGCTGATTCTTTTCCATGGTAGGATGGTCTTGGCTGGTTATATTCAATGAGAGGTGACTCTCATAATCTATGTTTGAAGAAAAATTCTTGCTGATTGTTAAAAGAGCCGATTCAAGAAACAATAATTGGCCCTTTCCGGGGTTGATACTACTCAGAGTCATCACAAGCATATCATTAGGAGTTAAACCCATCTCTCTCCTGATTTCATCTCTCAACAACTTTCTTCTCTCCAGCATTTTGTCAATGCTGAATGTAGGAGTACTTAAGGAGGTATTAAAACCTGCGACAAATGCCAATTCATCATTTACAGAGAGAGGAACAATATCCAGAGGGGATTTTAACCGAATGTGCTCCTCTTTGCACCAGGTTAACCATTGCTGAGATTGCGATTCAGATAAGAAAAGCAATTTCTTCACTTTATCAAGCATGTTTTTAGCCCGGTCAAAATATGGCCGCCTATTCTCCATGATCCACCATATAATTTGACTTCCACTGCTTGGGTAATTTGCAAGATACTGTTCTGGAAGACAAAAACAATCATGAATCTAGTATCAGACTGGCTCAGTGATGAAAAGAGTAGACAGATACGAAAAGAGTAGATGGATGCGACAAAGGGCTTCTCTCTTTATATTAGAATAACCAGATTTCAATATGAATTCAAAAACCATCTGAAATACTATGATTATTTAAAAAATAATATGAAAACCTTTTAAAGAAATGATCTGTCCAGGATCGAAATATGACTTCAATGTGTCACAACAAAGGGCAAAATACCCTTGACTGTGCTACATTCAAGCATCAGTATTATAAAGTAAAAAGAAAGCATATGAATATATAAATGTATGCGTTTATGTGTCAACAGTCATCACCAATGATAAATCAAATTACAGCAAAGCTATAATTTTCCAGCTAAGAATTCAAAAGATGTTGGAGCATAAATATCCGAAAAACAAAACAAAAGAAAAGTTTGAAAGGTTTCTCTTACCGATCCAATCAGAACATACTGCCGAACCTGCAATCACTAGATCTGCCTTCATGGCAACCTTGTAGCTGAAATCAGCCTTGTCCTTGAGCACTTTGATACCCCGCCTAGAAAGCTCTGCCATCAATCCACCTTTCTTGCTAAGAACCACAGCAGACACAGTTCCCCCACAACTGAGAAGCTCAGTTGCGAGCTCCATCATTGAAAGAGGGGCACCAGTCATGGAGAGCTCATGAAGTATAACAACAAAAGATCTACCCCAAACCATATGAGCAAATTCCCCTTTCCTATCACAGGTACCAGACCTCTTTCCTGCACTCCACCCCAAAACACTGTCTTCCACATTACCAAAAGGCCCAACAACCAACCCATATGAAGTATTTTTGCTTGGCATCCCATCAAATTCTCCTACATTAAACATGGTATTATTCCCAGTATTTTTATTGCTTCCTCGAGCCCCCACTTTACCACTTTTTTGCTTGGTTCGATTAGACCTTTTAGGTTTCCTTGTAGTGGTACCACGCTGAATAGAAACAAGTGAAGCCTCCTTTGTGGTCCAATTTCCCTTCTTCTTCAATGATTCTATGAGCAACCTCTTTTGGTCTGACCCTTGTTGATCTTCTTTGGGTTGCTTCTTGTGAGAAACATTATATAGTAAAGAATTCACGTGGTTTGTATGAGGTTTATTTTGGGGATCTAGACTCTGGTTTGATGCTCGGTTGCTGATATTTGTTTCCTTAGAGTTGCTTTGATAACCAAGGAACTGTTCATTGTCTTCGTGATGGGCCCATCTTGATTGCACATAAAATCCCACATAGCTCCACACTGCAATTATAACTAACAAAGGTAGCAACCTCTTGCTTCTGACCCAATATGCAGGGCTTGCACGTATTCGGCCTTCTTTACGAGGAGTATGACTAAAATGAGACCTTCGAAAAGATGGAGAAGATCGAGGGGTTAACCTCCCCGAGAGAGTAGATTTCAAGCTTCCACTTGGCCGTAAAGAGATCTGGCGCAATGTTCCTGGTAGTTCTCTTCGATTATTATCAGTCTCGTCCATTGTAACCTCAAATACCCACAAGTCAAACAATCATCCTCAAATACCTTATTTCCTGCATAATTGTCAAGGACTTCCCTTAACCCTGAGTCCTTGACTTTCTAACAGACCCCAAGCTAATCTAGAAGATCTCTGATATAAACCTGAATTCATAGCATGCATAAACTGAAATAAGAAAACTCACATCCTTGCATCATCCCTATGTCGGAATTGTTAATCCAAAAACATCGATCATGTGCCCAAAGTACACCATGTCTATATCACATATATGAAATCACGTATGTATAAGTCCTTGCTATCTTCAACCATGAGAATAGAAACATCAAACTTAGGACCATTGTATATGTGCATTACGAAACACAAACTATGGAAATCCCTCACATTAGATTGCCAAATAGTTACTTCATATTAGTGCTCCAAATACACAAGGAACCCAAATTCCCCACTCAATTCATTTGGATCCAATGGAAATCCAACTGAGACACTGTGACCAAACCTCTACCGCACCAACATACCCTTTTACCTATTAATGACATATTAATCAACAAAACACAACCATTACTGCAAGAACTGATAGCAGAGCTGATTATTATATTTTTTGTGATGGAACTAGAGATCCTTGAATGCCAACTAGAAAAAATACATATTCACGCTATTTTCAATTCAGCTTAAATAAATAGTTACTAAGTAAATAAGAAATAAGCTGATCATTCAGATTCAGATTCTGAACCTGCTTTTCTAGGTAATTTCAGAGTTCAAATCAATTTGCAAATTACTAAGAATATAAGATTTCATATGCGAGTCGACACATTACTGTTTCCTGGTATCAAATATGTGTAAACCGACAACTCTTGACCTAACAAGTTAAAAGACGAACTGTTCTCCAGATCATAATCAATGGAATTACACATAGCATTAATCAATATACAAAACCAAAATCCATAAGCGCGACTAGAGATGAATAACATTAGTACATTACTCTGTTCTTTTATCTCAACTTTACGCAGACGTACTATCTTTGAACTACAGAGTGATAAAGATTAAAGAATAACTTATCTTCAAGTTTCTAGCAAGGAAGAGTAATTTTTTTAGAAAATTAGTCTACAGATTAATAAGAATCAATCAATACAGGATTCATAGCATAATGGACTGCATTTTTGTGCAACAGTGTGAAAATGAACTGGTCTTGGAGAATGTTAGTAAAGAAAATCAGAATTCTTCAGATTTACAGAGGACTCTGAGTGTTACTGACTGAAAAAGGAAATGATCTTGCAGATCTTTAGAGAAAAAAATGCCAATCCATAGAAACTACAAAGTATTCTGGAAATTTCACAGTGAATTTTGAAGTTATCTTTGAAAATCTTTTGCAAAATAAACCCTACTTCCTTGGATTCACAGAATGTTTTTGAGTATTACAGATTGAAAAATGAATTGATCGTGAAAATTCTTAGTAAAATAATCCAAATTCATTTTCAAAGGTTTTTGGAGTGTCACAAAGTGAGAATGAACCGATTTTTGGCAAATGAACCCTGATTCCCAGGATTTTCACAGAATTCTGAGTGTTCATACTGAAACATTAACTGATCTGGCAAATGTTTAGGAAACTCAACCCGTGCATCTAGAGAGGGTTTCAGAGCTACAAATGAGGTTATATTTTCCCAAGTAACCCGTATTTTTCTGATTTACCAAGGATTTCAAGTGTTACAGAGCGAAAAATGAGATGATCATACTGATCTTTAGTATAAGTTTAAGTTCTTTGCATTTACAGAGGATTTCTGAGTGTTTCAGAGCAAAAAATGAGCTGAAATTTACAATATCTAGTAAAAGAAGGTCCAAATTATTCGAATTCACATACTCTATTTTAGTGTCATACATTGAAAAATGAGCAGATCTTGAAGAATTTTAATCAAAGAAATCCCAAGTCTTTGCATTTACAGAGATCTTCAGAGTGTTTCAGAGAAGAAAAACGCGCTGATCATTTGCAAAGAAACCCTAATTCTTCGGATTTGCACAGAGGTTTGAGAGTCAACTAAGAGTGAGCAATGAAGATCACGGCTGAGATTCATCAAAAAACTTACAGATCCGCAAATGAACGGAATTTATGGCCCTTCGATACAAAGTAAGAAATCCTGTGCGTAAAAAAGCCCGATTTTATCGTGTCTGAAATTTTGAAAGATACTGCCTCGAAGTGAGGTCGTGTGTTGGCGTTTATATAGGTAACATTTACGAAACTGCCCTCAGATTAGTTAGAAAAAGACGAAAATGCCTTTGAATTGTTTCGTGAAAATTTCGTGATGTAGCGGGGAACTGCGGCTTAGGGGAAATTTTGGACTTCCGAAGTATCGGTAAGTTTTGGATTTTGGGCCTGCAGTGTGCAATAAGGTGCCTTCAAATAGTATCGAGAAATATAGATTTAATATTTGAAATCTTTGTTATAGCTTTAAAATATATTTTTATATCTAATTATAAAATTCAAAGCTTAAAAAACAGTATAGATCGAACATATCTATAAAAACTTCAAAATCTTGAAAATTGACTGTTAAAAAATATATTACAAGATGCACTATTTTCAAAACTTGAAATCCATTTTTTTTCTCATGTGTATGCATCTTTAGTTCAAGATGATTAATTTGAGAATATTTGGGCATCAAAACAACCTCTTTTAGTGAAATTTTTTAGATGCATCTTAATTTGATTGTTTAGAGAGCCTAGCAATTATATAAACTTTTTTTTTTTGGGAAAGAAACATATTTCCCCAGTTTTGAGATTGTGTATGGACACAATTTTTATGAGTCTTAGGGCTCATGCATCATTTTATTATTATTATTATTAATGTTAACAAGAATTTGATTGAGTAAATGAAAGGGTACAAGTGCTTAAAATAAATGAAAGAGAAGTAAGAAAGAGACATTGAGGACAGTACCCAGAGGGAGAGAAAAGAGAAGCAATGGAGATTACTACACGAGTGGAGGGATGAGAAGTAAGTACTTAAGATGTGACCTCCTTTGCTAATCGATCTACTTCCCAATTCTTTCTCAAAAAACATGTGAAATGATGACTTCTTTATCTGAGAGCAAGAAGAGAATCTTGTTCGGGGTTCTTACTCCATCCAATAACACTTACCGAATCCCCCAATTATCGTTCGGTACCGTGTGGGATTAAGCTTCCTTGCTCCTCTAAACGCCCGAAGTTTTGCTTCATTGATATCACAGAACTGCATCCCACCCAGATAGGACCATAAAACATTCCCCTAAGAATCCCTTAACAATCTCCCAGATCCCGCTACTTGCTCTTTTCCTTGTACACTACCATCAAAATTGAGCTTTAGCCATCTTTTTTTTCTAATTCATTTTTGAGAAGGGTTCTAGACTTAAATTTTTCAGGTATATATATAACCTCCAACATGGAGATCATGAATGCGTTTAAAAATGAATTTAAGATAGATGTGAAACCTTTTTAAGTTTTTTAAGTATATATATATGACGACAACTCCACATCTATCTTTAAGATAGATGTGAAACCTTTTTGCCCTTTTGTAAATTTTACCCCTCTTTCTTTTTTTTTTTGGTAATGTCAAAAAGTGCATTAGATAAGGAGACGTAATTCATACTTTGGAGGACGCATCCTTACATTTGAGTCCCCCAAGACATAAACCATCCATCCAAAGATGGATCTAAATGATAGTTCCTCCAAAAACAACGGTAAAATCAACGACTCAGATATTTTCTTCTAAACATATTTAGTTTTTGTTTTTTTATTTTTTACACCTTAATAGCCTCCATGTTAGGGATTATATATTCCTTAAAAATCACGGTCAAATTTTATTTTAAGAATAGATTATTAAAGGGGGCCACATTTCTATGTATGAGTGTGGGGACTCATGGAAACTGTCCATTAGACGAGCATCTCCAGGTGGCGTTTTTTGGGTGTTCAAGACCAATCCTGTTTAAGTGCGGTCTCCTTTCACAAACTATCTTGAAGATGGGTATTTCTTAGTACTTTTTTGCATGTCTATAATCTCGATGACTGTGATTATGATATAAAAAATTAAAAATTGAATTTTAGAATAGATTATTCTAAACCTTATTTTTGAATTGTTTTGAAAATCTTAATCCTTCGTAAAGAACCTATTCTTAGGGCTTAAATTTTATTTTTTTGAGTTTCACGATCTTGGTGGTAAAGAATAATTGTCTATCAAATTTTAGCTCCAAGATCTATCCCCTGAAATGGACTTTGGAAATGAATGCATTTAAATAGAAACACATCACAATTTTCTCCTTGGTAATTTTTTTGAGGATATGTGATGGAAATAAAAAAAAAGGGGAAGTAAAATCTGGAATATAACAATATTTAAAAACAATTTTGATATTAGCAAAAATATCATTTAAATGGTCTGACCTTTTACAAAATTATTAAGATAGTCAAATCATCTAATTTAACATCAGAATTATTACTTTATAAGTTTCATTTCACTCAAATATCTCTTAAAAAAATTGTTCAAAGGTATACCCTTTCTAAAAGCCTGATGAAGTCAGGGGCGCCTCAATTATTTGGCACCACTTAAGTGGCACAGGGAAAATTGTTATTTAAGCTTCATAAATTAGAATAAGGGTTTCCAATGTAAAAAGTGAAAATTTGGTTTTGCATTGCATGAACAAGGGTTTGCATATAGACTTGATTCTGGAAATGCATCAAGTGAAAAGATTTCCTCTTCCCGAGGGAGGATACTATCCAATTGGCAAAACCCATATTATGGATACCTTTTGGATTTCAAATTTCGGGGGTGTAATCTTTATAATCCATAGAATAATCTCAACATAAACAATTTCTGAAATAAGCTGTCTATGTACTGCAAAAAACTTATGCCTCAAAATTGAGTAGAGTGTCGAATTTTTTAAGGGTTAGATTTAAGTGTTACAAAACTTAAAATGCAAAAATAATCATTTAATGGTCATTATATGTTCTCCAAAACTTTATATTAAAAAAATTCTTCTAAGTAGAGCGAGGAGGAGATGTACAGTATCCTCCCTGAGGAGTGCGCTCTTGATCAATACCAATATTGTTATATTCACTTTGGAGTCTTTTTTGGTTTGGTGAGAAAAATAAAGCAATTCAGTGCTTCGGCCATATAAAAATAAAAATACTTTTATACAGATTTTTCTTTGCTTCGACCCGAATCTAACCGAAGCAGCTCGAAATTGACTAAAACGGTAGCATCAGACTTCGCTTCGCTTTGGTCTAGGTCTAAAATCCGAAGGCTTCAACCTCTTCGGTCGAAGCAAATTGAATTTCACAACAGTGATCAATACTAGGACTCGTTGTTATATTCTTCATTTGTACACATGGAAGCAATGCCGAGAAAACTAAGAGGACAAATTAGGCCTTAGAAATAGTCCCCGACTTCACCATTTTTGTGAATACCATGTCTTATTCTCCTTTTCATACAGAAGGAAGAATACATGGGGAAGTATGGAATAATTAGGGCACTGATGGGTCAGATATTTTAACCATTTAAAACATTGAATAAATTTGGGCAAGTCCTCCTTATGTAAAAATGGAACGTAAAAGGTAAATTGGCAAAAGAGATATAGGGTGTTTTGGGCAGTTCCAAAATGATTCATTTAGCCATTTTTACAGAAGATTGGGCTCCATAGTTCCTTTTCCATCAAAATATGGTTGGTGAAGTGCTTTGGATATGATAATCATATGTCAAAAGAAGAACCTTATTTTTAGGATGCATCCAAGGAATAGGTAGGAAGTCATTGTCACATTAATTGGAATCACAATTAGTTATTAGGAAAGTAGTTGGGTGTGCATTATGATACATGTATTATTCAAGCTAAAAGATTTTATGCTCCTGCACGAGCATACGATCCATTTTTTCTTTTAGATATAATCCAATCTAGGAGTAATTTTAGGATCCAAAATTTTGAGAAAGTAGCATCCCTAGCCCATAGACTAACCTAAATAGAAAAATCCTCTAAATGACACGCTTTATGCACTTGAGAAAATGATGCTTTGAGATTGAACATAGACTGTCACTTTCTTCTGTGTGTATGTGTGTGTGGGGGGGATCTATGTGTTACAAAATCAATTTTTTTTTTCCTTGGAAAATAACTAGCTAATGATTCTTAGGGAGTTCCCAAAATTTCGGAATGAAAAAAATCCTCCTAAGTAGGTCTTCTTCCTGAGGGAGTTGATGTACAATATATGCCCTCGTGGGAGCATAGTATTCAAACTCATTATACAATAGTATAATAGTGTCATCACATTCTCCAACTCAACAATGTATCCATACATGAGCCATCTCTTTGAATGACTTGAACTAAAAAATGGTTCACCTCCATGGTCCATGATTAAGTATAGGCAATAAAAGATGAAATGTATCATATCTGTATTATGGTGTACTTCACAATGTTTACTGTTTTCTAATGTACGAGACACAGAAGTCAACCAGATGGGAAAGCAGACCTTGTGGCGTACACATCTGCCGTCCATTTCTGAAAACAAATCTCCACGGTTCAAGTATAAATCTTGAAGGCCCACATGGTGTCGCACCAAATGTGGTTGTACTTCAGTTGTGTTAAACCAATTTTCGACTATATTCATAAATTTACTCAGTGGGATTGGGAATCGTTTGATCCAGATCAGATCTAATAAGCGACTAATCTGGGCACTTTATGATACTCATTTATCAAACCGACCTAGTAGGAATCGCTTGGTTTTGTCTGTGACCTGGTGATCCTGCTAGTGGAATGAGATCAGAGAACCGAGTGATTATAATTTATGTGATTTTTACCTTTTAGTTATTTATATTTTTTGACCCCGGAGAATAGCCAATTTAGATTGAAATTGCTGATCCGAATCAATGTAGCCATGACACCATGTAAAATTGAACAATGTGATGTAGTAGCGGAATTATATTTTTCATGAAAATGTATACAATGAGACTATTTATTTTTTATATAAGAAAATCATAATCATCATTTAACGTCAGGTTTGAGATCGGATGGTTGAGGATGTCATTGTTTGTTAAAAAACAATGTGCAAAATAAAATTTCTCGAATGTTATAATGCACTTTCATCCATTGATTTTCACATCTTGCCTAAACATAATTGTGATATCTTTGTACCAAAAATAAAAAGTTCACACAATCCTATTTCTTAT